TGCAATACCTTAAAATTATGATAAAATTATTAAACTAATGTGATATGTGTGACTTAATACAACAAACTATAAAGTTTTTGTAATACGTAATTACCTAAGCTTATCCCATTTTTAGTATAAAATACGGAGTTGTTTTTAAAATTTAAACAACATCCAATGGTATCGCCAGTAGAAAATAACGGTCCATAAGACTTGCCTCTTCCCGAACAGAAGAGTTTACCATCATCTCCGTGATAACCCCAGGAACCATTATCCCATCCTATGAAAAAATTATTATGAATGAACATGTTCAATATGCAAAAAAAACAATTAAAGGTTTAATCACCAGGCATTCTATTTAAATTAACCGTCTTCCCGCAAATTCCAATACCAATTGCTCTTTTGAACAGAATATAAAGAATAATAAGCAAATTTAAATAATTTTATTTAAATTAATAATAGATTATATTAAGCATACTTGTTTTTTCCTTCATCCAATATATCAACTTCAAAATAAAATAACATGCATTGCGGTGGAATTGGATGATTTGCCCGTACTGCACCGACATCATTATTTTTTTCACCCAAACCTATGTTAAATTGTATTAATTCAGAATGTTAAATCAATTGTCATGCTAGCTTATATAAATAGTCTCACTAGCGACTAGCAAATGCACGTAGTTATACGAAAATTGATTGATAATTTGAGCAAGCCGTCTGCATTAACAAATGCAGATAAACATTTCATACGCATGGAATAAAAATAAATTTGCCTATCGCTAAGACAAACCTTCATAATTCACTCTAAGCCCGCTTGAATCTACGCTCAAAAAAGTGGATTTGTCATCGAGATTCCAAGCAGTTGGTAAATCCATGATTTGCGCTAAGAGTAGGGAACCTTTTTTTAAATTTAATGTAAAATTAATGACTAATTTTTTTATCTTTTATGTTCAAGTAAGTACTACTACGAAATTTGGTTTAAACTACTAGTCTTGTAAATAAATTTGTAGTGTGAGCTTTCTGATTTTAACAGATAAAAAATTTAAAGATTAGGTATTAAAATTTTATCTATCTATATATATATATATATATCATTTAATTCTGGGTTGGTAGGTTTTAACGTTTTTGATTGGATCAGATATGAAAAATGTGATCTGAAACATGATCTAAGTGGGAAAATTATGTCATTTGTTATACGAGTAACCGAAAAAGACATAAAATTACGATATTTGTTATGCAGGTAACCGAAAAGGTCATAAAATTACGACATTTTAGTCAAATTCGATATACATATGTAGTATGATGTAAGTTTTTATTATGGGTTTAAAATGTGATAATAATGATCGTATCCGAATTCCAAAATTGTGAAATAGCTCACCGACCTTATGAAAGCCTCGCTGACTCTAAATGAATTAATAGCCTCGAGGCAGCTTTTGTCTCAAATCATGTGATACCCGATTGAACATTCGGTTACGATCACATGTTCGATCGATCGGTTGACTAATAGAACGTAAGTATTAGCTAATCAGGTAATTAGTAATACGATCATTGATGAAAGTATGGTTAGTAATTAGTCTTAGTGAAGCAACCGATTAATTATGAGGTAATTGGATCATAATATATTTAGTAAGTGCTGTAATTGAAAAATAATATGCCTTTTCGACTTTTTGTTCTGACGATCGATTCCTCCCACTTTAACCGCTTTAGAGCGACGCATAATTTTTGTGCCTGCCGGGACGGCAGTCATAAATAAGAGTAGGCGGTGGGATCCATTAGTATTGTATTCTGGGAAATGTTAAATGTGGTCTGTTAAGACAACACAGGAGGAACCGTTGATACGTCATAAAATCGTTACACAATTGATGAAAATTTTTTTTATATTATTTTACAATACTTTTTGGAAGGCTCGCTTATCTTTTCTATGAATATTGAAAATGGTGATCTGTGTAACGGAGAATGAAAACCATATCTATATTTGGACGGTTTCTCCTTCTGACCAGATCCAAAACGTGATTTGAAACAAGATCCAGGTAGGAACGACATTTGTTATGTGGGTAACCGAAGATGACATAAATTACGACATTTGGTCATAATCGATATTTCATAATTGGAAAATTAATTACGATATTGTACTGTACATACATAATATATATGATGTGAGATTTTATTTTGATGTGATCAGAAAATGTCATAATGATCATATCCGAATTCCAAAATTGGGATCGTCAAAGGTAATTTATATGCATCACATGATATTTAATTTACAAATTTGTTAAATCAATTCAAAAACTACCTGGCTTTAGATGACCTCTATTGTGAAAATAGATCACCGAACTTATGAAAGCCTTGCTAACCCATTACTCAGAGCTAATTGAATTATAGAAATATGATAGCATAAATACCATGACCTTTTTATTGACTACTAAATAAATCACCAAATCACTAAATACCAGTATAAAATAAAAAAAAGCTGAGATATAACAAAGTTCCTGTCCAGGGACTAGGGCTGTTAAGTAGTCCGACTCAAATCGATGGACTGTCGGTCCGTCCTAGAATCTATCTTTTCCAACAGGATTATTAAATTTCTGCGATTTTGCGATATTTGATCTTAAATTTAGATCATGTACATAAATAAAATATCTAATTATAGTCGTGAGAGAACTTTGATAAAAAGTGAATACTTAATTACATATTATGTACTTACATATAATTGTTCGTATTTGGAAAACTATATTTCTTTAAATCAAGTATGTATAAAATACTTCAACCTCATATAGTGACCTTTTCAATCACGATACTAATTTAGTTAGACCAAAAAAATAAAAGTCTTAAACTATATAATACCGTTTTTTTCAACAAGAATTAGATATTATGATAGGAGTTGAAGCCCATTATAATTCCGACGCAAGCTAACTTAATACATACTTCGATTGCCCAGAACAAATAACGAACGATTTTCGAAAAATTTTTGACGAAGTCACGGGCAAAGAGCTAGTAATATTAAAGCTTATAGATTTATTTTATATTGCACTAATTTAATACAGTCATACCTCTTTATAATCATACTTTTGGTACCATAGGACCTTTATTTAAAAAAATGGTCTTATAAAGAGGTATGCTTATATAGAGGTCTTTTGTAATATATTAGATAGTAAATATAGGTGTGATTATAAAAGGTTTTTATATGATGTAATTATTTAGGGTGATTATAAAGAGGTATGACTGTACTCCAACATACGTTACCCTTATTAAATCCTCGCCTTTAACTTTTCCCCGGTTTTTATTGCTTAACGTCTAGCATTTGTAGTTTACCACATATACTTTTGTAGGTAACTGACCATTTAAAAAGTTGATAAAATACGGCACAAAGGCTTCAAATCTGCATGATAAACTTGGCATGTTTCATTGAGGTGTGCGGCGTACTATGTAAATCAAAACTATATATAGCCATATAATAAAATTTATTAATGAAGATTTTTAGATGAGTGATAATTTTATAGTAATTATTGCAAAATTTTAAATAGATGTATAGCTCTAACGGCTTGATAGTTTTGATAAAATGCCATTTTCATTGAAAAATTTTAACATACAATATTTTCTTTTTTCTTTAATAATTTTTTAATATGCAAAATTTTTATTTCTTAAAAAAAGAGGCAAGAAGAAAGGCTTAATTTAGTTTCTTTTTTTAAAGAAATAGCTCTATAACTTTGTTTGCATAAACATAATACCGGTCTGTGCAAAGTTTTAGCCGAAACTATCGAACCGTTAGAGTAGTGCATCTATTTAAAATTCTACAATAATCCAAAAATTTTCATTAATAAATTTATTATATAACCACACCACATATAGGCTTGATTTACACACACCCCAACGTTTCATAGGGACAAGAAACCAAAATGTATAAATTATGAATTGTGTCTGTACTACGTATTTTAATTCTATACATAAATTTGATCTACATAGTGCATCGGATACCCTAACACGTCATAACCCTAAAAAATAAGTAATACGGGATAGCAAACAAAGATAAACAATACGAATAGGAAAGTATAACAGAGAAGCCCCGAACGTACTGTAACATCATTAAACCATCGTGGCTTACCAGTCGAATAAATTATTATATATAATGTTTAACAACGAATGGCGTTTAGATGACTAAATCTAGTAATTACATAATAAAGGCGATTTACGCGACGTGCAAATGCAGTAACCTATGTGAAACATAATTTAATACAGAATATAATACAGAAGTCCATTCCTTCGTAAAAGCATCTCCTCATCTTGTCATATAAAGTCTTCACTATTAATCTCATATAATAGATGCGAATACGAAGCACTTAATTAATATCATCCTGAATTCCTAAATGATTTAGTTCTAATAGGGGGTTTCAGACTTAAGGTTCAGGTTTTTGATTTCGAATTAGATTAGTGACGTATTTATTTTGAAATCAGAGATTTATAAATCCTATTTATTTTTATTTGCAAGCCTATTTATATAATAGATATAATATACATCATTAAAAAAAGTTTGTTTATTTTATCTTCAGACAATTCCTTTTTCATTTTCTGATTTCGAAATTTCAAACCAAATATAGGACTTTTCAAACTCCAATTTATTTTCAAAATAAGTTAACTCTGAAACCCCCCTAATGTAACAATATGTTAGATTGACTTCTTTTTTTAGCCATTTTTTTTAAAAATAGTTTGCAGTAGAGTCGTCCTAATGATGTTATAGATTATGTCGTAACTAGCTAAAGATTATGTAGTTACGAAAATCAGTGGAACAATTCTACTGCATCATGATTCGCAATTTTAATGTCATTATCTATTGTTATTCAATAATACCAAATCTGGAAGTAATTATATCAACCCTAACGGGAAATTTATAGAAAAATTCAATTTACCAAATTTTTCGTTTATAATTCGATTAAAATTATAAGTATCCATGATTTTTAACGAAATGTCACATATAAGTTTCGATTTTTTAAAAGAATTGAGTCGCTTATAATATCAAGCCTAAAATGAATCGATCAAATCAAATCAATACCAAACACCCTATTTCAAAATTCCAAGAAAGCTTATGGTTCGAATATTGTCGGGATCCCAATTCCTATAATTACAATATAATTTCGATTGTTGATGTGAACAAAACTAAATCTATTCAAGAAATCGTTTTTTCTGCCAACAACTTGATTTCAAGGCATGCTCTTTTACGAAGTACCTTTCATGATAAAGACGACGATGGGAAGCCCACAAAATGCTACCGAAGAGAATATCCAGCGGATCACGTGAAAAATGGTGTTCGTTTGATGATGATTCCCATTGAAGATATAGATAATTTAGTTAAAAAACCTTTTAAACTTGAAAAGTTGTACCCTATTCGATTTTATCTTTTTGTAGATTCAATCAAATCAGATTATAAAATCTATATTATTTGCCACAATATCGTTGTTGATGGTTTAGGCAATTACAATTTATTGCTTGATTTTCATAATTTGTTATCCGGTAAATCCTTGCCAATGCTTAATGGGACAACATTCGACGATTTTATCACTCAACATGAGGAATGGCTTTATTCAAACGATTGTAAACCCAAACAGAAATTTTGGCGTGATCAAATTAATTCAACCAAAGATATTGAATGGCCGATGCAACTTTCTTCCGTTCAGCAAACTTTAGGCAATAAACAAAGCATACTTCAATACCAAGTTTTTCATAATAATGTTGAAGAATTGAGAGCCTTAGGTCATAAATTTAAAGTTAGCTGGTTTGTGGCAATGTTTTCAACCGTATGGATTACTTTATCATCATTTGTTGATTTAAAAGATGCCAATATCTGGCTTCCATTCTCTGCACGTTCTATGCCAGTGAATCATGATAAAAACGCATTATCTCAACTTGTCGGTCATTTCGCTAATCACATGCCAATTCATCTAAATATTGATACATTTAACTCAATTAATTTGCGTTCAATCATTCAACAAATAGCAAAATTAATATCTACCGCAAAACAGAATGAAATGTATCCGTTTATTGATCTAGCAAGATATG